CAGTTTAAGCTCTACCTGAAAGTCTCCCCAGACAACTGCAGGCTGTGTGAATCTCTTCCTTCTCTGCCCTCCCTGACTCTGTCTATACCACTGTCATGTTATCCGAGGCAGCCTCAGTGTCATGGTTGATTGCTCCACAGAAGGGAACCCTATCACTTTAATCAGACTATGAGAATCCCAGAAGAAGGAAGCACATTGTATACTTTTACATCCTGACAACTTCTGGGCAGGATCTGGACATGTAATCGATGGCTAATAAATACATGTTGCATTGGAGGCTGCTGCTAACATATATGATATCTCTGGGCAAGTTTGGAAAATGCCCAATATAGGCTAAGTATACAAATATTCCCTTCCTTGGGTATAGAAACATCTGTAGTTTCTGTACCAGGAAGCACGGCTGGGTGTGCAGGCAGTGGGTCAGGTTTCAGCACCACATAACTTCTTGGTCAGGTGCCCCTGCCAGGGCATAATCTAGATGCATGACTTTCCTGCAAAGCAAACCATGGTTGGTGTGGGAGAGATTGATTCAGAATCCACAAATGAGGCTTCTCCACATGCTGCAGCCTCTTCCCAACTAACCCAGCTTGCCCAGGTCTGGGTGTACAATGCACAAACACAACAGTAGCTCCCTGCTATCATGTGGCTTAATTAAAAATCAAATCATCTCATCAACTTGCAAATGTCAATTTTGACTTATACTTTATTTTTTCATGACAAATCTTTCATATTTCCCCTATGTACAGAAGTATAATTTTTTATGTATCTCTTTACGAGTAAGGTGAGAGTGGCAAGCACACAAAATCTTTACCTGTTACTCCTAGTTTAATTGGGCTAAGGAGGGACGGTAGGGCTGGAACCAGTCACTGATGGTTACCCAGGCCCTGAACTGAAATTTCCTGTGAATGGTTGTACTAACTGTTGCAGTAGATCCTAAGCAATTTCTGCCCCAGGGAGGACTAAGGCAAGCCAGGGTCCCTGGAGTCCCTCTGGGGCTGCCCAAAAGGTATTGTTTTCTATGACAGGCCATGGAGGAGCTGGTGGACGCAGGGCTGGTGAAAGCCCTTGGGATCTCCAATTTCAACCACTTCCAGATCGAGAGGCTCTTAAACAAACCTGGACTGAAATATAAACCAGTGACTAACCAGGTAAATTCTGTGTGGTATAAGGGTAAGGGTCTTGCCCTGTTTTAAACATTGGGAGGAAAGTCTAGTGTTATGTACTGAGTCTCATCCCAGGGGTCAGTGATCAGGATACTTTGGGGAGGTGTGAGGCTGATCTCATGGATGATTTAGCAAGTATATCAGTGGGCAGGTGTTTGGCCTTTGCTTGGTTGTCTTTTTGTGTGTGTAGAACTCCCTATGAACAACTCAAAAAACAAGCCGCCTTCCCCCATGCTGAGGATTGTTTGGCCTTCCCCCATGCTGAGGATTGTTTGCTATTGCAGGTTGAGTGCCACCCCTACCTCACACAGGAGAAACTGATCCAGTACTGCCACTCCAAGGGCATCACCATTACAGCCTACAGCCCCCTGGGCTCTCCGGATAGACCTTGGTGAGCCTTCCAAGGGGTGGGTCTTTCTCTTGATAATTTTAAAAACATAATTTTATAATTGGTAAATGTTGGTATGAGACCATAAGTCACTGGAAAGAAAAATGTGTCTAAGGTAATGTGTTTGGTACACCTAAATGGGATGAAAGTGGGAAAAAATGGAAATTAAACACACAAACAAACAAGAGTGACATGCTTGACCGTCTGGGAGTATTTCCACTTCAGCCACCCAAGGGCGAACCAGCCTTTGCAAAATGCTGAGAGCCCGTGGGAAGGACCCAAGCTTCCAGGTCCTCCCGCCTGTCTTCCAGATGGAGAGGCTCTGATGATCACTCTTGAAACCCTGATTGGAGTGGTGTCCATCTGCACATGGTAACCATGGTGACTGTTCACATCGTTATCTTTTTCTGCCCCTAGGGCCAAGCCAGAGGACCCTTCTCTGCTGGAGGATCCCAAGATTAAGGAGATTGCTGCAAAGCACAAAAAAACTGCAGCCCAGGTACCATGTTTTTCTTTTTCTATCCAACAACTCATTCTTCTAGTCTCATGTTTCATTTCTGTGTTATCCTCAATTAACTCCTTAAAGGAGAAGAAAACTGGAGCTGAAGCCCTCGTGTTTCCTTCGAAGTCTGCTGGAACCTCTAGGAAACACAGGAGCTGTCACTGGAATAAAGATAGCTTCTGTCTCACGGCTTCCTGTTAAGCCCTACAGCTCAGCGGCAAAGCATGGCTTTGGAGTTTAGGGATATGGGTGCAGATGCCCATATCCCATAACTCTACCACTTATCAGCCTTATGATCCCCAGGCCACCTTCCTTATTCCTAAAAACTGAAGATCACAGGTTTGTCCCTAAGATGAAAGGAGAGAATCAAGCGGAGGACTGGCACATGTCTAATAGCTTATTAGCTCAGTCAATATTAGCGATTATAGCTGAAGCCACAGTGAGCTGAGGAGATGTTTTATTCTTCCTTTCCATAAAAGAAGGGGTCCTGGGCGGGGCACGGTGGCTCACGCCTGTAATCCCAGCACTTTGGGAGGCCGAGGCCGGTGGATCACAAGGTCAAGAGATCG